TTATATGAAAGTGACACCTTTATAGTTTTTAATTCTGCAAAGTGAGAGTAATAATAGTACTAAGCATATAAAGTTGGGAGATGATCAAATGTAAGCTGGATACAAATTGCCTTGGAAGAGTGCTTTGTGCACACACACACACACTCCTATTATTATTTAAAATGACAGATTTCTAGGGATATTTCACTGAAAATCAATCTTTTTACCATGTGTTACTGCTTTTCACAGTTTAGATAAGTGCACTCTTGCTCTCCACATACATTTAATAGTAATAGCAGAAAAGCTATCATTTATTTTCCATTTCCAGCTAGTTCTAATAGTTTTGGTTTCTTTTTAGAATATTCCATTGTTTTTCAGTATGCCATAAAGAAATGGTAATATGAAAACTATGGCATCTCATTTTAGTAAAAATGCTTTTAGTGAATCATTTGGACATTGCTTCTGACGTCTACGTTGCATTAGAATCCATTCTATAGAACTGTGATTTACGAGGTAATTCTTTTTATGGAACAACTGAGAAACCCAATTTTAAATTGAAGAATTACAAAAATGACTTTTCTAAACTGGCAAGTTGTTTTTTTCCATTAAATGAATCAATCAAGATGAGCATATTCACATACATGAGTGGACATGTATTAATACTGTGCTTAGTGACACAATCTATCAATATTTGGATTAACATGTACCATCAATTAAAAATGATAAATTCTAGCCTTATGCCCAGTTCTCTGCCCCACACCTTGGATTATGAATCCCACTTACTGGGTGCTGCTCACTATAAACTTATTTCCCCTAATTCTTTGTATTTTAAAATGTTAAATATTATTTTTGATTTATTATATGCAGCAATTTATTTCATGACCTAAAAATGTAGGTACTTCACAAAGACTGCAAATGTCTAAAAGACAGTCCTTGATCTTAAAAATCATACAGTCTGTGGGGGGGGGAGACAGATAATTATATAAATCTAGCTGTGAGGAACAAAAAAAAATAGTTCACATGTGGCAGAAGTCGGAAAAATTTAATTTTGTCTGAGAACTTGTTCAACTATACTCCTTAGAGTGTAAGTTTTTAGCTAGGCCTGGAAAAGTGAAGCCATCTCCTACCTGGAGCTCCCTGAGCAAGCAGGTGAAGGATCATTGTTAGGGGTCCCACTGCACTGAAGGACCAACATGGAAGGCATTTTTGCATGCAAAGCAGGAACTGAACTCTGAATGCTTACTCATTCTGAGCTACTTGCAAACTGCTTTGTAGTCAGCAGAGAAGATGATGCCCATGGCATGTGCTAATCAAGACAACAACTAACGATAAGACAAAAACATGAAGAATCAGATCAGATGGTTGCTTTGGTTTTAGTCAGAAAAAAATTAACCTAACCATCTTACAGGTTGGAAAACAATGTTAGATTGCTTACTTATTTACCTTACAAGGCCAAGTAGGATTCAGAGAAAGATGCTCCTGCTTCCCTCTCCTACTTAGAAAAGAAGCAGAGTGGAAGAAGAAACCAGTTTGTGAACAGATTTTTAACCATTTGCCTCTTCATGCATCCAGCAAAAGCAAACATGGCTGACACATGTATTTGCAGCACCGTGAGATTTCTTGGATTCATTTCTCCATTTTTAGTGAAGGTATTCAGGGTTAGGTTAGGTAGCAACTTGATCCACTGAGCACCCATCTGGAGACTTGTCTTGGAATTCCTTTCTTGGCACAGATTAAATATCTTGGGACAAATCTGAAGTAGAAGTTAGAACTATGTTAAAACTTGCCCACAAAGGCATTTGGTATGTGGAGTACTTCCTTCCCTGCCAAGCAATATGCGCAAACTCGTAAATGAAGTTTATGAGAAACACAGACCTTGTGTGGCTCCTTTTAATATTCCTTAGGAACGCAGCATTTATCCAGTTAACGTGACCTTTGAATGCTGCCAGCTCCATTCTTCTGCTGTCAGTTCAAAAAAAGCAGTTTGATCACAGCCATGCACGGTCATGGAATTCTTTCAGCTGTCAAGTTGGTATGGTTTTTGTTAGAGGGAAGGAATTATTCTCTACATAGCCTAAACTCCTATATAATGGACTTAGACTAAGATAAATGTCTTTGCCATCATGTGCTATCTAGCTGGCCCCTGATGCTCTTTGCTTTTTGGTGTCTATGCCCTTGTATAATCTCCCTGATTTTTAAGAAAAGATATAGCAGAGGTAATGGATGATCACTTCCAATATTAGGTTTCGAGTCTGTGATTCACATCTTGCTAGTACTCTGTTTTTCACTGTGCTCCTTCTTACTGATGACTCTTCTTGCATGCTTGTTCGTCTGCTCTGGGAAAGTAAGTTGCTGTATTTTGAGCTGCCCTATGGAGAACCCATATGGCAAGAATCTGAAGGTGGCCTCTGGCCTATAGCTAGGGAGCAAATGAGGTCTTCCATCCAAAAGCTTTCACGGAACTGTCAACCACTATAAATGGGAAGCAGCCGGAAGCAGGTCTTTCCATGGCTGCACAGCGAGATCAGTAGCTTGCGCCAGTCCCTGCACCGGAGGTCTAGTCTTGCCCAGTGTCCTGCTCTATGAAAACCAAGATAATAAATGTTTCAAGGCATAAGATTCCATGCAATTTATTGCACAGCCATGGAAAATTATAGAAACAGGAAGGCTTTGGGTGGGCCACACAGTTTGAAAAGAGGATGGGAATATACACTTGTACTTGTCTGAATCACCAACTGAGAAAGGGTGTTTGTTACAGATGTCTTACCTACACTTGTTTCATAATCATGGCAGCAGCCTGGTAATGATGTTGTTACTCATATATTTTGAAGGAAACAGATAGCAATCTGTTATTTGCAGAACATACAGCTAGCAGACAATAGAGAGAAAAGAGAAAACAGTGTCTCCAACTAGGAAACCCAGTTCTTTTCTCTGCATTAGAAGGGCACAGAGGTCGGGGAGGGGATGGAGAGGGTAGAAATTGGAGTTGCCTGTGGATCTTTTTATTAGTTACTACGTTGCTTTCTCTCTTTGGAGGTGCTGACAGTTTGAACTGATACCTCGATCCCCAGAAGAGTATGGGGCTTACACAAGCTCAGGTTATCCTTTTTGGCTTGAGTCTGTGGTTAGAAAATAACAGGTTCTGAAGGAGGATGAGGAGTCTGTAGAAGCCTCTGTGGTGATTAGCAAGGTGACCCTGTGGCTTTGGTATTCTGGTATTCAGGTGGCCTAATGAAAAATGAAAAACAAAAATTGAACAAAACAACCGGCACCCAAAGCAGGACTCCTTACCAGGCTCAATGTATTGTCTGATGGGTGCTAGACACTGTTTATTACCTCTAAGGAGGAGTTGGCTAAATGAGGACAAATTGGAGTTCAGTGGATATGCGATGAGGGATGCTTTCATTTGGCAATGAGAACAAATATGAAAAACAGAAGGGAACATTGCAGCATTGCACCTTAGGAAGATGAAGGCAACCTTTGGTGTTCCCATGCTGTCTTCTCAGCTGAACAGGCAGCTGCAGAACTGATCTGACTGAGACTTGTGTGACCAACGGTAACACAACATCTGAAGTCTGTCTGCTACCATTAGCCCATTAGCTGCTACAATAGCTTTGCCATCTTGGGTTCTTATACAGGTCACAGCCTTGTTTCCATAGCAATGGCTTCATTGCCTGTGTTAGTGAAAGACATCACAATTAACTGATCAAATCAATAGACTCTCCTCAAGAGGGCGATTGGAGTGGTTTCTTTAATAATTCCTATTGCTTTATTGCTCTTGTTCTGTTCTGCTCTTCTTTTTCTCTCCTCTCCTCTCCTCTCCTCTCCTCTCCTCTCCTCTCCCCTGCTCTCCTCACCTCTCCTCTCCCCTCCTCTCCTCCCCTTCCCTCTCCTCTCTCCATCTCTTTTCTTTTTCTCTTTTCCCTTCCCTTCCCTTTCCTTTTATTCTCTTCCCTCCTCTTCCATCTGTTCCTCTCCCCCTCCTTTATTTCCTCCCCTTTCTTCTTCTGATTCCATCTCATCCTGTCTTTGCTTCCGTCCCTTCCTTCCCTTTGAATCTTCATTTCCCTCTACTTCTCATCCTTTCTTGAACACAGGACCTTGTGGGGCAAGCACTATCACTGAGTTCCTACCCAGCCTTACCTCTCTACCTCATGCATTTCTGCATAGAACAATTTTCCACGGCACCATTACTGAGTCTGGTGGTCACCAGCCACATGAAGCTATCCAACATGTGAAATGAGGTTAGTGAGACTGAAGGACACAACTTTTCACTTAATTGAATTTCAATCTATTTATAGTTAAATGATTATATGTAGGTGGTGACTGCTGTGTTGAATAAGGCAGTGCTTTAGGCTTGTCTCATTATATTGATCTTTAAAATTTAATTTGGTTTGTAGTTACAGAATATTTTCAAATGCCAGCCATTTATATACTTAGATTTTGCCTATATTAAGCAAATGTTCAGAAAAACCTAGTGAGGACTAGTGTATTATTTACATTTTTCAGAGCAGAAAGTTGAATTTCAGAGAGATGAAGTAGCCTGCCTCAAATTGCATAGATACAAAGATAGGACTTAAAGTCAGTCTAGCTCCAACTCATGTTTTCTGTACATACAAGTAAGGCTAAAACAACAGATATGGTAGGTAAAAACAACAACAAAATGGATTCATGACCATTGAAATTAACCCTTGTATATTACTCTGCTTTCCCATTCTTGGGACATGTTGCCCAATACCCACAGCTTTTAGGAGTTAAGGTGTAATCTAGCTTCTGGTTTCAGGAATTCAGTCCATGGTTGGTTTATTCTAAGTCTGAAACATCATGGCCCAAGGGCCAACTGAAGCAAATGCAGTGGGGCAGAACAGAACAGCACCACAGAGGAAGGGTCAAGGAATCAGATATAGCACACACGGTGAAGTATATCCCTTCACAATCCATCCAGACATGGCCAGAAGCATGGTCTGCAATCCCCTCCCAGACCAATCACTGCTACACAATCAAGCTTTAACAGTCACACCTTGTAATGCTCTCTTTCATTTTATTGCTTATTATAAACATGTTAGCCATAGAAAAAATGTTAGTTTATAAATAATTCAAAGCTTTCACATAATATATTATTTCCCGCAAACGCATTTTTGAAAATAATCAGTGAACTTCAAAAGTTTGAAATGTGCATATTTATGCTTTTGTGACACTAAATACAAATAGTAAAAATACTCATTTATTACAGGTATATTGGTTTGGAGTATGCATTAAGAGAGGCTGTAAACAACTCAAATAAGAGACATAGTGTGGACCGAAATTGCTCCTATGTGGGTAATATTTACAGAATATAAAAGGTTCACAATAAGTATTTATTGAAGGTGAAGAAGATGAGAATTCAACTTTCTGATGGTCTTTCGTCTCCATTTTTAAAAAAGGAATACATGGAGTATTTTCAGCTCACATTCTCAAAATTATAGAGATTGGCACTCTAGTTGCAGTGAAACTGGATCTGATCACACTTGCAGAAAAGAAATAAATAAAAGCAGATGTACTCTTAACCATATGCTAAATATTTCATGTGAGTTAGGGAGCCTCTTACTAGAACACGCTGCAACTTTTGAATGCTTTGCACCTTCATGAGCAAGAAAGCTGTCAGTGCCTAAAACTCAACTGAGTCATCCAAAATAAATCCAGCCTTTAGGCCCCACTCACAGTTAGACTATATTCAGTCAGACTGATGTATTTTTTGTGCAGGCATTTAAAAGCAAAAGGAAATACTTACATACTTAAGTTTCCTAACTATAATAAGTACAGATACTATAACTTATACTTTGAGATATTCCTTTGATTTATTTATTCAGCAAAATTCTTATATTTTTGGGATTTCATTAAATTATGATATTAGGTTAAACATTTTAGATTAAATTGTACAGTGGCAAAAAGCCTGATCATCTATATCCAACATTCAGTATAAAATTTTTAAATATACAAAAATCTGTTAAAGTACGGCACATTTGAATTATTTATTAAATGCTTTTATATCTATAGGTAGGCACTTCATAACATTTGCATTTGGTAGAAAGCAAGATGACAAAATCTTACCTTTTCCCATCAACTGTAAAACAGATTACCAAAATTTTACAAAGCTAGGACAAAAGTTTGGCTCAGTTACAAGTGGACACAATCCAATTTCATTTTTCCCTTTTCTTTTTGTAAATCTGTTGCGTAGTTTTTATGACCAAGTTCTGAGATTTTGTTCCCTGATATAAAATCCTTGAGAATATTTGGGTTCTTATCTTACTCTGGAAGTGAATTATTTGTTGCCTGTAGAACTTCTTTCAAGCTCCCCCTATAGCTGGATTAACGTTCAGGATAACCCAGTGGCTAATGCCAGATGCTTTTTAGACAGTAGTAATCAGCTTTGAAGAGCTCTTGGTTTCTAGCAACTGACTCTCATTTAACTCTCAAATTTAATAAACAGTATTCAACTGTTGGTTTTACTTCCAGTGACACAGAAATGTACAGCTATCCAAAAATGTGAGGAGAATTTTTCAGGCCCAATGAACTCATTTACCATTCCTTTTCTACAGTTCTTCTGCAGAATTTCTTTGGGAAATACCAAGGTTCTGTTTGAAGTCTTGGTAAGCAGGAGCTTCACGAAGCAATCTAGCCAATAAGAAAGCACCAGCTGCTCTTTTTCATACCTTGGAGGTATTACAAATTCAGATCCAGACAACCACAAAAAGCAAATATTACAATAAAGTGAGTCATACAATTTTTTGGTTTCCTAGTGCATATTAAAGTTATATTTACACTGTATTATAAAGTGGACAATACTGTTATGTCTAGAAAACCCAATGTGTATATCTTAATTAAAAATACTTTATTGCTAAAATGTGCTAACAACTGTCTGGATCTTCAGAAGGTCATAATTCTTTTGCTGGTAGAAGAATTTAATTCAATAGTGATACGTGATTGATCAGGGCGGTGGCTGCTGAGGATTGAGGAGGTGGTGGCAATTTCTTAAAATAAGACAGTAAATTTGCTGCATAGCTGGACTTTCATGAAACATTTCTCTGTAGTATATAATGCTGATAGCAATCTATTCATGGTTAAAAAAAAAACTTTTCAAAATTGGAGTAAGGTCTTTCAAACTGTCCCTAGTTTTCATCTTTATAATATTCTAAAGCCTTGGCTGTCACTTCAATCTTCACAGTATCCTCACCACAAGTAGGTTCCACCCCAAGAAACCACTTTGCTCCTCTGTAAGAAGCAGCTCCTCATCTGTGGATGTTTTATCGTGACACTGTAGCCATGCAGTCACGTCTTCACGTTCCACTCCGAATTCTAGTTCTCTTGCTATTTACGCCACATCTGCAGTTACTTTCCATAGTCTTCAATTGTCAAATCGCCCGAGAGTTGCAATCAACTTCTTCCAAACTTATGGATGGTGATATTTTGACCTCTTTCCTTGGTTCATGATCATCTTAATGTCATCTACAATGATGACTCCTTTCCAGAAAGTTTTCAGTTTACTCTGCTCTGCTCCAATAGAACCATTATTTTCCATGGCAGCTAGAGTCTTATGAAAAGTATTCATTACATGAGACCTAAAAGTAGAAATTACTCCCCGATCCATGAGACACAGGAAGGATTCTGTATTAGCAGATATGACACCTTTAATCTTTTTGTACATCTCCATCAAATCTCTTGCCTAACCATGTATGTTGCCAATGAGCAGGAAGTTTTGATAGGCATACATTTTCCTGAGTGGTAGGTTTCAACAGTGAGCTTAAATTACTCAATAAACCATGTAGTAAACAGACTTTCTGTTCCATTGTTAGTGCACAAAGAGCGCAGGTAGTATAATTCCTAAGGACTTCAGGATTTGCCGAATGGTAAATAAGAACTGACTTCAACTTAGTCACTACCTCTGATAACCCAACAACATGATCAGCTTTTCCTTTGAAGCTTTGAAACCAGACGTTGACTCCCTAGGGAAGTCTTGGATGGCATTTCTTCTAGTATAAAGTGTTTTCACCTACACTGAAAATCTGTTGTTCAGTGTAATCATTTTATGATCTTCTGTGTAACTTGCTGCAACTTCTACATCAGCTGTTGCAGCTTCACTTACATTTTTGTGTTTATTAAAAGGGTTTTTGTCCTGATCCCCATGAACTAACCTCTGCTAGTTTCCTACTTTTCTTCTGTAGCTTTTGCTCCTTGCTTGGTCTTCATTGAACTGAAGAAAGCTAGAGCTTTGCTTGGGATAAGGCTTTGGCTTAAGGAAATATGACTGGTTCCAGATCACTAAAAGTTTTTCCATATCACCAATAAAGCTATTTTTCGTTTTTACTGTCCAGATGGTCACTGGAGTAATATCTATTTCCTTCAAGAAGGAACTTTCCCTTTGTATTTATGGCTTGGTTGTTTGGTTCACAAGGCCTACCTTTTAGCTCATCTCAGCATTGTATGTGCTTTCTTCACCAGGCTTAATCATTTCTGGCCGTGTGTGACAGATCTGTGACTTCTTCTTTTACTTAGACACTTGATTACTTGGCTTAATTTCAATACCGCTGTATCTCAGGTAATGCGTAGGCCCAATCAGAGGGAAATAGATGGTGAACCAGTTAGAATACACACAATATTTATCCATCTATTAAGGGACTAGTTTTACGTGGGTGTGGTTTGTGGTACCCAATTATAGTAACATCAAAGGTTCCTGGTGATAGACCACTGTAATGGATGTAATACTAGTGAAAAAGTTTGAAGTATTGTGATAATTCCAAAATGTACAATAGCAAGGTGAACTGAGCATATGCTGATGGAAAAGTGGCACTGCTTGATGCAGGATTGCCACAGACTTTCAGTTTGTAAAACACAGAGGATCTGCAAAGCATGATACAGTAAAGTGCATTAAAATGAGGTATGCCTATACCAAAACCAAAGTTCCTTTCTGGTCATTTCCACCCAGTGCCTCAAACAGTGCTGGGAACATAGTAGGCTCCCAGGCACTCAGTGTACTTTTACTGATGAATGAAAGAATGAAAAAACTCTACTATTAAAACTGCATAAAATGAAATTGTTTCTCTGTACATCAGGCTATTTTTCTCTCATCCAACATGACTTCAGTCTTCTCATTTTTAGGATCAATACTAAAACTTCCTTCACCTAGTGCTTGTCATGACTATCAGATGTCTGTTAATCTCTACTTTTTTTCTGAGTGTGCTTCAGTGGATCAGTTGACCTCTTAAAATGCAGTTCCATACTACTCCACATGGGGTTATCTCTGAGCAAGGTAGCAATCCTTCATCCCTTCTCATGAATGGTCCACCCAACTATTATCTGGCACCAACAGTGTTCCTCAGAACAGTTCTTTCCTGCTTGTTTCTGCATTTCTAGAAGCATTCATTCTGTGCAAGATCACTGATTGGCATTTCCTCTGTTCTGAGAGAAGGGTTATTTCCTTGAATTTCCAGGGTAAGGAGGGGGTGGAGAACGCTGGGGTGTCGGGGAGTACGGAGGAGGCAAGTCTGCACAGTATTCCATCTCATGGTCCTGATTGTAGGGGGGCGGTGCCACTGGAAAAGAAAGCAAAAGAGCACCAGGGATTTAGCAAATACTTCAGTGTCATCTACTGTGTTTTAACTACCGTTCTAGATACTTTGAGCAAGGCCAGCATTTTATCTGCAAAAATCATCATCTTTTCTTTTTTTCTTAAGTGGAGGGCATATACGTATGGAAGGGTGAGCACTCTGAAATGTGATGCTATAGGTCACTGGGTTTGGAATTGTTGGCTTAGAGTAAGTTCTTTTTGGAAGTATAATGCCACAGAGGCACAGAAAAGAGGCTGAGGAACAATTCAAGTTCGACCAGCATAGAAACGAGGCAGCATTTTTGTCTAAGAAAAAAAAAAAATACAGGCTGGTTGCATCATCATTGTGGTGGGTGACGAGTGTCATGTGAAATTCAGAGTTAGCAGAGACTGTTTTGAGTACGTTAGAGAAAATGCTCTAGGAAAATGACCCATCATGAAAGAGGCAAAAGTGAGATGTTGGAGTAGCATACATGAAAGATTATAAGGGACTTATGACCATGAAGGGAAAGCATTTATGAGTCTTGAGTGCATAAGCAGTGATTAGATACATGGAAAAAGAAGTGAGAGGCTAGAAGGAGAGGTAAGCCTACTGCACTGGGTACCCAATAGGGGACTCCTGTAACTCAGAGAATGGTGTAGCAATTACAGAAATGGAAAAAATGTTGTAAATGATCAACAATTTAATTGTCTAGATCTTATTTAAAATGTTTTTCTTTTATATTTTACTCTACTAAATGCTGGTATTTTAAATCTTAACGAACTTTGCCATGCCTATGGATGGTTGTCTATTTTGTAGTGATCTCAAGTCACTTCACTAGGGTTGAAAGAGAGAAATCCTTTGAGTTGAAATTCATTCATGCCTTCAAGAAGTGAATCATTCTGCAGTATCTGAATAAACTGACAGTAGCCAATATGAAGAGGTGGCAAAGAATCCTGATTCCACTGGGAAACCAACATGCCTTAGTTAGTTATTGGGACTGCAACCAAAATCTCAAGACCAGTGTCTTAATAATGCAGTTAAGTGGCCAAATTTTCCAGATTAGAATGGCAGAAAAGAACAAGTGCCATTTTAACACACTTATTACTAGATGTCTTCAAGGTCCCGCTGTTTCCAGAAAGAATTTGACAGTGTTCTGATAAACAGGCATTTACACACATACATCCTAATGGATTAAACAACACAAACTATTTTTTTTTTCTGGATCCCTCTGGTTTGCTTCTGTTTACTAAGAGCTTTATCGCTGGAACACCTTGCTGATCTGCCTGTGCTTGGAGAATGTGCAAGCAGAATTGAGTCACCAGAGGAAAGAGGAAGTTAGGGGGTCATAGAACTGAAAGGGCTGCTTCCTGAACACTGTTCTGATAGTAAGTACAGGCTGCCTGAACTGGTGGAGAGCTTTCAGCGCAGGACTTAACTCCAAAAAGAAGTCAGTGATGATGCTTTCAGGTTCTCCAGTGCAACTGCACACCTGGGTTCCCTAAGCTCTATTTTCTACAAACAAGTGGAATAATCCTCTGGGGTCTATATACATTCTCTGAATTTCATATCCACTCTGTTGCTTTCTTAAATCTAGGAAGACTGGGAAAAAGAGACTGATAATAAACTTCATCCAAACTAAGAAAGGGAACACTGCAGCTTTCAAGCCAAATAAGAAGTTCTAGCTGGATGCCCACTGCACTGTCTCTTGTAAGAATGTGGGTGTGCACGGCTTTTATGTGGATGTCTTTGCCTGCCTCTTGCTTGAGGAGCACACTTGGACTGACTCTTCAGATTGCCCTATATCACTGTCTGTCATGAACACACAGTATGTGTTTATGGGTCTTTAACAAAGCATACACTTTCTTCCACCTGCATAAAACCAGCTGGAGGACATTTAAACAAGATTCCTTTTGGTTTGTGCAGCCACATGGTGAACATGAAAATCTCTGCTATGAAACAGCCCTCTCTCGCTCATTTAATCTTTGAATTCTAATAAAAGAACATATAATGTTGAAAAGTGGTATTTTGGGTTTATCTGTCATGAAATAAACATCATACAGCCTTTATAATGTCAGTCACTGCAAGACATTTTGAAATAATACATGTACAACAGTGAACTGTTATCTTTCTTGCTGGTAATTAGATTTTGCTAGGAAGCAAATTTTCAAAGATATCTATTTTAGAATTCTTTATTAATCTAAAGAGGTTTTACTCTTTATTACAGGTCAAATAATCTTTGAAAGATGTGTGGATGCAGCTGGAGACATAGAGCCTTTGAAATTATTTCAAAATCAGTAAAATCAGTATCCCGATTCTCTACTGTAATAGATATGTCATTTATCCTCAATGTCTGATAGAATCTACAGTGGTAAAAAAAACCTTAGGGCCACTATTCAGAGAAGAAATTTAATGTTTTAACCTATTCAAATCAACATCTCTAATGAAAATGGACAGTATTATAAAAACAATTTGACATTATGTTAGAAAATTTGGAAATAAAAGAAAATCCTCCATAATTTTGTCCACCTTATTTAACAAACAGGATCCATATTTGCTAGTTATTTGTGTGCACTTATATCCTTATAATCACAGAAAATAGTATACATTTTTCATTTTGTACTTAATATGTCTTTTTCACTCTGCTACCGATTCTTCATAAACTTTATTGTTAATAACTATATGCTATTTCACTCATAATTCATTTATTTTGAGGTTAATGTTTTTCTTAGTATAAGTAAGGAGTAAAGAATAGCTTTTTATAGGAAATTTTAAGATTTTGAACAATGTCTTAAGAGTAAAAATCCGGAAATTGACTACCTGATTAAAATAGAATATAAATTTTATTACTTAGAGTACATCATGAAACCAAAAAAACTGTTTTAGTAAGAGTACTAGTAAGTCTAGTTTCATTTTACTATTTTGGTAATTTAATATAGGAAACATAGAGATGCTTCATTTCATCATTTCTTTGATAATCATAGGATATATGCTCTTCTACCTTTTGTCTACTATTTGAAACTCATATGGATAAAGTTTTTTTATATTCTGGATGATTAATATGAATTAGGCTTTTAATTAGAATTAAAACATAATTAAGGTGATAAGATATAAACAAACATATCAAACTGCATATTTTTATTTTAAGAAAATTTTGTCGAAATACCTCTGTTTTATCTTGATTTTTACCTGACTGATGTACAGAAGTTTAAAACTTTTATATGACAAACTGCTTTTTTATCTTTATTATTTCACTGGTGTTGATTATAAGCCTAAAATTCCTTTTCACAAATGTTACATAACCTAATATTATGTGTATAAATTTATATATTTAATTCTGCTTGTAAGAGTTTATTTTGTTCTATTTTTGCATTAATGTTTATTTTTATAGGTTTTAAGATTTTGTCAAGCCAAATTAAAGTAGCACATCAAATAATCCTTACTTTGTTTTGCTCAGTTTCCTTTACAGCATACAAAATTGTATGCCTCTTGTTCTGTTCCAATGACCCAGTTATCTTTTTATACAAAATGCCTCATTTAAAAAATTTTTAAAAATTATTTATTTTTCAAAATGCTTCATTTTAATTTCTGATTTTAAATGGATTTGATATTGATAGTAGCAGTGAGTTTCATGACTAACGACATTTTTAAAGACAATTTCTACTGTGATTCCTAAAAGCAAACTTTTCTTCTACTCTCCTGAATCGTTACCCAGAATTTGCCCAAGCCCCGTCCAGAGCAGAGGGTTTAAATAAATCCCTGGCCAGGACTTTGCTGTGCCACCCCCGCCACACAAACAACATGTGGCCTGCTTCTCTCCTACAATGGCCTACGATGCCAAGATACAGCTGAAAGCATTGTTCTTCTTCCTCTCAGATAACATCAAGTCCAACGCTTTCATGCTCTTCCTCTCTCTGTGATCAGGGGAATGTCAGCTGGGCACCCTGAGCCAAGCAGGGCTCTGCACTTCTAATCTGACCCATCTTCCCAACTCCCCTCAATCCAAGGTTGCTGTGCTCAGTGGGAAACAAAGCCTTTCACCAGGAAAGTTCCATGTGTCTTCTCCTTCTTCTTCTTTACCTTACTCCAAACAGAACGTGAGGCAGTTCTTTCTTTTCTGATTGTGGTCTCTTTCTCAGAGAAAGAAAATCCTTGAGAAAGTCTCTACCAAGCGTAAGGAAGGCTGTGAAGAATTCTGACTTTTGAGAAGGGAGACAAAGTGCAGGAGGTGATCATCTCAAGGAGAGGAGGGGAACATTCACGTCACCTCTTGACTCTAAAATTTGATTTTCCATGACTGAATGACTTTCTCTGCACACTGCCAAGTCAAAGTTGTTTTTTCTCTTCCCTTTTCTACAAGCTCCAGTGCCAAGATGTGCTCAGGATATTCGTAATCTTTGCAGCCATTCTTCAAACAATTATGTTTGCCTTATTTAAAAATCCAAGTGTTTGTAGTGCCTGAGCTATGGGCTTATACTACCTGTAATTCTTGCCATGAATAGATGTGGTCCTTCCTGCCCCAAACCTATATTTAGTGGAAAACAAGCATCTGATCTGTAGCTCCTTTTCACCCCACTATCTATTCATGTTCCTGGTCATTACAGTATCCATGTGAGCCTGTGTGTCAGTACACTGATATGTTTTGCTTTTCATAATCTTTTCCTCATGCTTGTTTTTAGCAATAATGGTTCTATATTGTCTTGGTTTACAAATCCAACTAGTACCCTTTATATGTTTAGAACACCCCATTCTACCATATCTTCCACCCACCTGAATCTTCAATTTACAGATGCAATTTAAAAAGTTTAAGTTTACACGACCTCTTTCCTGTCTTCATGGACTTCTTATTCGTTTAGATTTACGCTCCATCTCTAAAGTGTCCTCTTTGCATCTACTGTTAATGTTCTTACCTCTTTCTCCCTTTACTACCTGGGGAACCCTGACCCTGATTAAATCCAGTATTTTGGCTACCACAGATCCCTATCCAGAAGCATAATGTGGCTAGG